CCTCTAGCCAGAGAGCCTTTCTTTAGCAACTTGTCCCAGGAAGATTGGATTAAGGAAAAGCTTTATGAGGCTCTGTACTTAAACCTCCAGTCACACACACAAGGCTGGAGGGGGACCCGGGTGGGAACCGGAAGCAGCTTTCTTGTTTGCAGCCCAGGTGAAGCCAGGCGAGTGGAAGGCCGGAAACAGAGGCACCGATTTGTTCCATGCCAAACCCAGGCCTTTCCTACTTATCACAGCTCCTCACTGTGATCTTGAGGTCAGGTCTTCTTCTAGATGTTACAGGGGACAGAGCTTTTTTCTCCCCCACCATAACAAATATGGTAGACGACACTTATTTATTTTCATGGCATATTCAAAGTTTGATTAAAAACAAATAATATTTTGCACAAAAATAAACAGCACCCCTGGGCATTTGTGTTACCAGAACTTATAATTGGTGCGATGATGCAAAGAATATCAGCAATAGATTCAGGTGCTACGAGTACTTCCTGGAGAGGGACGCATAGTGATGAAAACGAGACTGAAAGTAACAGCTTTGACCACATTTATTTACATTTCTGATGTGCCAGATGTTGTGCGAGTCGCTCCAAGCTAAATCCCAGATGCAGCCAAGTGCAGTGGTTGCCTGGATTCCAATCCTGTCTCTGCCCCTGGCTGGATGTTGGATTTGGACAACTGACCTGAGGCACTGTAGCCCACGTAAGCGCATCTGTAAATCAGACACCAGGGCTCCTGCTTCACGAGGCTATTCCCAAGGATGGCTGTGCAGATCTTCATGGAGGGTTGCTGCTTCCAGACTCTTTATGAGTCCTCAGCGACTGAACTCTCATCCCTCTTAATCTTCACAGAAACCCACTCCAAGATGGTTGTTTGTTCTGTTCTCTGTGACTGGTGCAGTTGTGCAAAATGGCACAGTGATCAGCGTCTAGGACTATAAGAAGCTTGAAATGATTCATTCAATGAACTAATCTCATGAGTGGAATGATTTTTCTACCTTTCTCTTGCAGATGAGGAAACCGAGGCTTAACTTCTTTCCTGGTACCACGTGGCTACAACATATGATCTCAAAGGAAACAGGGAGATGGATATTTATTTATTTATTTATTTATGGTACTGGGGATCGAACTTGGAACCGTGCACTTGCAAAGCAGGCAGCGGAACCACTGAGCTAAATTCCCAGGGAGAGCTGGATTTTTGAGGGAGACAGGGATGGAGGAGAGGGGAATAGGATGAAAAAGAATGAAAATGTGTTATGTGCCTGTTCCAACTCCCCACCATGAATGCAATCATTATGTGCTACAAATGTGGACTGATACAAAGCGTGAGCAAATAAAAATAAAGTAAAATAAAAAGTGACTCTATGGCATATTCGCATGGCTTCCTGGGTGTGTATGTCCAAACTCCCTAAATTGTGTATAGTAAACACTTGTGGCCTTTTTGTTAAAATGCATGAAGCACAGTCACACCAGTGAGAGACCATGGGGCGACCCCAATTGTAATAATCTGGTTAATTCCGGAAGTGCCTCTTCCTACTATTTTAAGGTGTCTGTGCTATCTGCCAGGGTGTTGCCGTGCCGAGGTAGCTATGAGCAGTGTGGAGTGACACAGGGCACGGGCACTTGAGGGGACACATGTGGCCATGTTGTGCCTGGGAGATCGGAGGGGCTGGAGCAGGAGGGGTGGGAAAAGCAGAGACACCACCTTCGAGGTCCCAGGGAGCACTAGACAGTCACCCAACAGCCATCTCCCTCCCCAGACACAGTGAGTAGGGGAAACCTGACCAGCTGGTAAATTCCAAGTGGCCTCCAAGTACCCCTCACGCAGGCGAGAAAGGCTAGATGGGGAATCTGTCCAGCCCCAGGGATAGCGATAGGGCCCTTGCAGGGCAGGAGAAAAACTTGATCTGGGAATTGCCAGTGACTGTCAGAAGCTTCGGTGCCTTCATGAATAATCCAGAGTGAGCTCAGTGCCACACGGTGCCCATTGCCCTGTGGGTCTCTGGCTTGGTGGACAGCACAGCCAGGCTGGGCTGGTGGCCTATGGGGTCACTTCACCCCAAGGGACAGTTCTTTCTCTTCTTCCACAGCAGGGCTGAGAGCTGGGTGGAGCATGCCACCGTTCCTGCCTGGGTGTCTGCAACTGTGCCTGCAAGGCTGCGGTGGGTGCACCAGGCAGGGTGGAGGCAGGAAGAGGTCCCTAGAGGCTCTTTCTGTGCATCCGGGCTGGGACCTCATCTCAGCCTTCCCAGTCGTGGGACTGAACAGGGTGAACCTTAATCTGGGCTTCAGCAGTGCCACCTGTCAAATAAGCACAGAAATGACGCTAATAAAATATAATAACTAGCACTGTGGAGAGGCAAGATGTGCCAGCGTCACAGTCCATTACGCAACATCATGAATAAATATGTGTACAGATGCAGTCTCTGTGACTGACTAGCTAAGTCAACCTGCACAAACGAATTCATCTGAGCTCTCGTCTCCTCGTGGCTCAGATTGAGAGGGTAGCAGTGCCTGATCTGCATAGCGAAAGCCCAATAAATATTTGTTAAATGACTGAGAGTGGCTGACGAGATGCCACACGATAATGTCTGTGAAAAGCCAGGCCTGATGCTTGGCACGTAATAATCATTGAAAGGGTATTAGCTCTGCTTATCAGGTGCAGGTGGGAGTAAACGGAACCACATGCAAATGTGCAGCCTCTCAGCGATTGCATGCTTGCTGCTAGTTCTCCTCCGTCTTTTCCAGCTCTGCGGATGACCCTTCCAACACCTCTCTCTCCGGGCCCTGACCTCCTATCTGAAATCTCTACAGCTTCAAACCGGCCACGATTTGAAAGTCCATGTGAAATCAGTCTGCTCCGAGGTCCCGGGACCTGGCTTGGTGCCCTGGGCACCACAGATCCTCTGCAGAATCCACAGGGCTTCCGTCCTGCAGGGCTCTGCTGCCCGCAGCATGGGGACACCCCGACGAGCCAGCTGGCGTGGGCAGTCTAGCCTCAGCCGGTCTTGCCCCACTCAGCCTCCTCCGTCTGTGTGCAGAAAGGTGCACAGTCCCACACGGGGGCCCTGCTGCTTCCGGGGCTCGGCCGCCCAGCGCAGGGGACACAGCCCTTTCCCGCTCCCAGACCCCCACGCACACTCCCCAAGGAAGGAGTTTTGTGGGTTCTCTTTATTCACCGTCTCCGCCTCCCAGGAGAGGGCCTGGCGCGACACCATTGTGTCTGTGAGTGACCCCATCATGTGCTTCTCACTGCACCCAGGGGCTGGGTAGCCTGTGTCCCTGACGTGGGAGAAGAGATTGGGCTGCACCTACCCCCGAAGTCAAGGAGCCGATGCGCGGCAAAGCTAGGAAGCCAGCCTCAATCTTAGCCTCTGCATTCTTTCTGAAAAACCATCCTTAACTGTGTTTCCCCAGCAAGAGAGGACAGAGGAGACGGCCCCTCGGGTGTCTCCCTGTGTTCTGCCTCGGCAGCCTCCTGCTCACGTTTGTGCCCCGGCCTTCCTCACCCTCCCACGAGCCTCTGAGCGCTCACCCATGCCTGGCCGGTGTCCCCAGCCCCAGCCTCCGCAGACAGGGACTCCCGACTCCGGCTGGGTCGGTCCACTGTACCATACGCGCTCCTACATTGGAGCGCATACACTTTGGGAGCGATGTCCAAGGTTGGAGGAGGAAAAGAGGTTACTTTCTGTTCTTATTTATTTGTAAATGGAAAATAAAGATGATGACTTTCATCATTCGCAGAAAAGAAAGCATCTCCATTAGAAACTGGAGAACAAGATCATTTCCCTCAGCCCATTGGAGTGCCTCGGGCCTGCTCCCACTGTCCCGCGGGACCACACCCTCAGCCCTGCTGCCCCTCACTCGCATGGGCCCGTCCTCGCTCAGCCGCCCCTTCCAGTTCTGCGACTTCTGTCTCGAAGCTGATTTACTTTCCTCCCCTTTCCTCCTGGTATTGCCCTGAGGCCCCCGCTCTTTCTCTGGCCACCGAAGCCTCAATCTACCTCGCTGGTGAATTTTGTCAGTGGAGAAGACTCCGGCAAAGGGCAGAAGGCCGCAGTACAAGATTCCCCTCTCCTACGCCGCGGGAACTCCAGCTCTCGCCTCGCCCGCCTGTTTCTCAGTGATTCTTGATCTTCACCTCATTTTTCCCGCCGCGTTTTGGTTCCTCAGAGGCAGCTTCCTTAAGCAGTCCTTCTCTTCATCCTGCCTAGGAGAAGCTATTTGTTTTCCTTCCTCACTGAGGAGTGTTTTGCAAACAGCTGTTTGCGGATTTCCCTGCTGAGCCTGTGCCCCGGGTGCGGACGGAGCTCTGCGTGGCCCAGTGCTGACCGCGTCACAGACGTCTCCTCGGCTCCCGCTCCCCTCTCCCCCACGCGCAGCCCAGTTCCCAGTAGTCATTAATTTCCCCGCTGCTGCACAAATATGGCAGCGCCATCGACATTCATCATCGTTATTAGTTATGTTTTAATGTCGATGCCTCTGCCGTTGTGTAGAACGCCCTGGTTGCCCAATCTGACAAGTGCCGCCGCGCGTTCCAAGACCCATCTCCGAGGCTTTTACTTCCAAAAACCCTTTCACCCCGGAGGCAGCGCCGGTCTCTCCCTGCGCTCCAGCGCGCTTGGTTCACGCCCTTGTCTGTGTGATTCTTTCTCTCTAACTACTCCAAGCCAAAGCTTGGATCTTCTGCCTTCTTGCGTCCTTCAGCAGCACCTTTTACACTATCTTGGTTGGCACTGGAGAAATGTGTGTTAAGGGAACGCATGTGCAAAAGACAGAAACCTTCAGGCGACTGCCAGTGAAGGGTTGAATGCAGCGGGATGGGGAACAGTTAAGGAAGGGGGTCTTTTTACTGCAAGTCAAAAGGGCTGCTCTTGCCTCAAGTAGTGCCGCTGACCGCTCCCAGGAGGGAGACAAAATGTAAGATGCAGACCATTAAATATTGAAAGCAAAAGTTAAATATTAAAATTTAATATGGAACATTAATGCCAATAGACAAAATCAGCCAGAGCAGGACACAAGTAGGCCCAGGCCAAGGCCAAAAATGAAAGAAACATGGCTGAGGCTGAAAGCTGACTGTGGACGGCCTGGACCTTCACGGAGTGGTTCTTCAGGGCGGGCACACCCATCCACCTTCCTGGGAGAAGCAGAGCGGGGAGAAAGCCTTTCATAACCGCAGCCATAAAACTCAAGTCTTTCCTACAAAACAAAACACAGTGAAGTGTTTCAGGACCGCCAAGATTTCAGAACTCACGGGGCAGTGGAAGATAAAGAAAGGCAACAGAGAGGAAAATATGAGATTGCGGAGCCCTTGGGGCAGGAATCCTATCTTTGCTTGTATTTTGTGGACTGGGCTTGTGCGCTGCCAACTTGGGCAGAAAAATAACAACCAGAGTCATCAGAGAGGCACACACAGAGAGCATGCTCCTGCTGCTGCCAAAGGGTGTTTCTCTGAACAAGAAACAACACTTGGAGCAGAGACGAAAATGGGCTCAAGACTGGAACTTGTAGAGCCCAAAGTGAACCCCGTGGGAGGACAATGGAGCCCTACGCCCATGACGACCGTTCAGGGCCAGTGGCTGCCAGCCCTGAAGGACTCCAGGTGGTCTCAAATCTCCAGAGTTGTGAGCTTCCCCCCAGAAAGCCCATGAAATTGGCTGGTATGCTGTCCTGAAGGTGCTGGGTTTGATGTCAGGAGGGCCTGGTCATTTCCTGTCACACCTACACACAAATCTTGCTGGAAACACTTCATTACGAAGAGTTCTCACTCTAAGTGAAGGCTGGGAATGTGAGGCCAGATCGAATTCTTCTGTGGCAACAGCAGTCAAGTGTTAGGAACCAAATTCCGGGACCAGTGACAGGAAATAACCCCATGGCATTGGCCCTGGAGGGTTGGGATGACACAGGAGGTCATTCGTCTGGTGGTGAGCCTTGGAAGTGAGCCAGGAAGCAGGGGTTTTCAAGAGCAAGACCCCTAGAACAGCGGAGGTCTAGCATAACCAGTCCCGAGGTTACAGGAAATTTAAGAGGTCACGGAGTAGAAAGCCCCTATGCCTGGCCATGCCGTCATTCAACCTGGAAAAGACACAGAAGCATGCACAGGATGGCAGGGCAGAGGAAGGGCCCTGGCGAGCCCCCTTTCCCCAAGACCCTTTCTCGCTTTCAGGGGAGACATGGATGCAATGATAAAGGAATGAGGGTAATTTAGCTAGAAGGGTAATCCTCACAAGAAATTAGCAAGCATAAGGAGGAAATGAACATGGATCGGTGGTTCAATTTTAACCATCTGGAAGGATTAACTGATCAGTGCTATCAAGTAACCATATCAAGTGAAAGTCAATCAGGAGACAGCTTGGGGGAAAATTAGGTTTTCTTAAAGGAAACAAGGTATGAAAATGGAGGCCAGAGCCAAAAACGTGGAGCCAGTGTTACACGGTGTTTTCTTTCCTCTAGGCTTCTGTTTCTTACACTTCACCTTGCCTTCCTTCTCACTGAGCATTTTTAATTGGTCTGTCACCCCTCTTTCCAGATTCATCTGTTCCGACACTCATTTGAAGTTAATGAAGGGCAGCCTTGGAGGTTAAGGTGGCCTGATGAGCTTCAGAGAAGGGGAACTTTTTAAAATTGAGTTTATTGGTACATTTTAGGCATACAGTACAGTTACATTCATTGTTGGGATCTTCTACCTTTACAGGACAGGTCTTGGTTCTCATTTTTTCCCCTTGTCCCTGCCCTCCCTTCACGCCCTCCTCCAGAGGGGGAATTTTAATGAGGGGAACGTTTTGCTACTCTTGGTGTCTGCAGCCGCTCTTGGGGCTACATCTGGGGTGAGTCTCATTAGGTTCTCTGGTGGAATGTGGCCTCTCTCTCAAGTAATATTGGAGGCATTTCATAGGGAAAAATAGAAGTTATGGCTTACACACTATCAGTGACACCAAATTCTTCTTAGTGTCTCACAAAATTCAGAGAAAAGATTCACGAGCCAGATGGCATGGAATAAGAGTCCGGCTCTCATTCTGACTCGCTGGAGGAGAACTCTGGGTTACTCAACACCAACAGTTTCAGGCCTGCACTGTCACAGGGTGAGACCGGATGGGAGGATCCTCACTGTCACCCGGAGGCCCCTGTGGTTGTGGAAAGGCGATGTAGGGTCTCTATAAAAACAAGGGCAGATTGGAGCATTAGTTGTTTTCATCAGAGTAGCTTTATTCCACTCCACTTATTTGTAGATGGGATTCGTCCACAAGAGTTTGTATTTAGAAAGGGCTTCATGCTTTAAGAAGTGAAAAACTCATCAGGCAACAATACATGGTAACTAGCGCTTAAACATCACTTCCCTTTTCTAGCTCTTTCGATCCATAAATGAAATGCCGGCTTCAGAATACGAGGAAATTAGTGATCACTTAGATGACATCTTTCCTTGGCAGGTAGGCAGGTTGGTAATCTGACAGATACAGTCTCGATTACTCTAGGTCGATGGTTCCTCCGCTAAACTAGGGATGGGGATGCCAGGGCTTCTGTGTGCCAGGGCAATGGTAGCTGATTCGCATCCCTGGTGGCTTAAGACAGAAATCCACCTCAGTGCAGTCCTGGAGGCAGTAAGTCCAAGACCAGGGTAGCAGCAAAGTTGGTTCTGTTCTCATTGAACCCCAATTACTCCTTTCACAGCCCATCCCCAAATGCAGCCCCTCTCAGGGGTACCGGGGGTTAGATCTTCAGCATAGGAATTTGGGATTGGGAACACCTGGTAACCCTAAAGATCGCCCATGGTGTTGTTTCTTAACTTATTTTAATACTTCTGAAATAGTACCATAGGCACCCTTCACAAAATGCAAACAATTCAGAGCAGAATATAGCAAATTACCACCCCCTCCTGTCTCTGAGATTCTCTTCCCCCAAACAATGGCATTCTGTTTCTTTGTGCATCTTTCCAGAAACAATTTGTGTGTATTCATCTACTAGAGAGCTTCAGACAAAACTCTCCCACAGCTCAGCCCCAGACTGATTTAGGGTCTTGCACCCTGAGCCCTCCAGGGGTCTCTGACGACAGGGTGGATTTTGGAGACTGAGAGGGTTGGGCTGAGAACCAGGGCCCCCTGAGAAGCTGCTGGAAGTGGAGAAACTGAGGCCCATTCCAGGCCTACTGATCCGAACCTGTGTTTTAATAAGATTCTTTCTTGGGTGGAGGCAGAGTTTGAGAAGATAGGTAACTTCTTTCCTTTTTACTGGAATTTCTGGGTGGCCTGCAGATCAGCGCAGGATGGCCCTGAGCAGGGTGGCCGGAACAAAGGACCGAGTGCTGCTGCCCCCAGGGAAGGGACTGGAGGACAGGTTCATACAGTGGCCATCATTTGGGCCCAAAATCCCCTGGCTTCAGGTTCCCCAGGAAGAATAGAGGGTACAGCATCGAGAGCCATTGTTTCTCCCTGTCATTTCTCAGCGCCTAGGTTGGGACTGGTGAGGACTGAAAGACCTCCCTCGTAGGCCTCCAGCTCTGCACTTAGACGGGGATAAATGTGTTCACCATGAGCGGCAGAGTGGCCGCTGTATCCACGGCGAGCGTGCTGCAGATTGGCAGCCCGGCGCCCCCTCAGGCGCCTTGCAGTGGATCGCCGAAGCCATGATCCGTGGCGAACAGCCCAGCAAGGCTGCCCAGCGGCCGGGCAGGAGGGAGGCGGAGGGAGGTGTCATTCAGTCAATTAGCCGCGGAGACAGCTTTCCTTCCTCGAGGGTTGGTTTTCCTCTTTTCAGCACCACTAACTCAAATGTCAAACAAGCTGTAACTGCCACAGAGAACGGGCCTAACTACAGCTTTTGCTTTCTGTAGGAGACAGAAAACAATTCGCCCATTCTGGCTCTGCTGGTGGAGCTCTGGAATTTGGGAGGGAGCCAGGTGGGCGGCGTGTTAGCAACCTTGGGACAGCTCCTGGGTCCCTGAGGGCTGGTGGCAAAGCCAGGGCCAGAGGAGAAGTGAAGCTGGCACTCGGGGCGGCTGTAGGGAGATGGCAGCCCCAGGTAACTCAGAGCGTGTTTCCAGAGGCTCAAAACCCACCTGAAAGGTAATGAGGCTTTGCATTCCACACAGCTGGGGCGACCTGAGATGCCCTTCCCAGTCCTGGGATACCAGGTGTTCGCCCCAAAGAGGCGCTTGTGGGAGATACCAGAGCTTGGCAATTCCTTCTGGCAGCAGCAACCAACTGGTAGAAATGGCCCCTGGAGGGATGAGAGGTGCCAAGACCCCTGGGGTCCCAGAGCTGACCGGCAGGCCCGGGAGGCACCCCCTGCAGTCTGAGACTGTTCCTGTGGGTCTTTCCAATGGGGAGCCCCGGGCATAGTACTGATGTCCAGGAGTAGATTCACCCAGGCCTGGGCTGCCGGGAACATCTGGCCTCCCTAGGGTGCTAGTGTGGGTGGGCATCTCGGGCAGGGGCGGGCTACTCTCCAAAGTCGTTCGTAGTTCCCTGATCCAGAGTGGGGTGATAGTGAGGCATGGACAACTGGTCTCCACCCAGGGAGAGGGCGTAGACCTGGGCAACCTTGACCCCCAGGGACAAAGAGAGCACACAAACAAGGCTGGCTGGTGAGAAAAAGGTGGTTCCTCAACAAAAGCGGCAGAGGCTGAATCCTGAGAGGGAAGAGCAGAGCTAGCAAGAAAGTAAAAAGCTAAACAGTTAGAAATCAGATAGATTAGGACAAGAATGCAGGGGGAGACCAAGAACAGGAACCGAGGCTGGGGGCCCCTTACTGGCTTCTCCTGGTTGATTAGGGCCTGGCTTCCTTTAGCCGGTTTCCGGGGTCAGGTAGGGTGAACATAGACTGGGACACATGATGCAAATACCCTACTCCCTGCACCAGCCGTGGCCATCGGCTTCCCTGTGCTCATGTAGCTGCGGTCACGCAGGTCCCTGGCCAAACCCCAGCTGTATTGTGCTAATCATGTGTTGGTTCCACCTGGGGCATGCAGAAAACGCCTTGCCAAACTCCCATCCAAAGCACTTGTTTGGTTTTTTAGAGATCACAGGGGTTTCCTAACCCCTGAGCTCCCCTGAGAGCTTGGCTCGTGGCTTTGTGGCCTCGGCAGTCAGTTAAAGGAAGAGTTAACGCTAATGTAGCCCTTCCCGTATTTTAGGCACTGTACTAAGTATCGCAGAGATTCATTCATCTGGTCATCACTGCAGCACTGCAGGGCAGACTCCAGTATTGCTCCGGTTTTACAGATGAGACAACTGAGGTGCACGAGAGAGTAGGAGGCTTTCCCCAGGGGGCACCGTTAGTGGCAGAGAAAGGACAGAAGCCTGCACAGTCTAGCTCCAGAACAGCGCTTGTATCCACTACACCGTATAACATCCTCACTTCATCGCCCTCATTACAGCTTGACTCTCTAAATTGGCCTCAAAAATTGGTAAGAAAGAAAGAAAGGAAAAAAAAACAAAACCTGTAGAGTAGACGCTTTGTAAAGCCTGCTCCCGTCCGAGAAGGAAGGGTCACAGCTGAGCCTAGGCCAGCTCTGCCTGGCCCTGTGCTGCACAGCTTTAGGAAGTGCTTTGCCCGGGGAGCTTCAGAGTGGGTGCACGGACAAACGGGGGACCGTTCTCACAGTCCTCAGGGGCTCGGCCTGGACCTGGGCTGAGTGTGGCTAGGGGCCCAACAGCCTGAGTGTGCCTCGTTTAACCCTTGTGCTCGTCCTGCAGAGCAGGTGCGGGTGACGGTTACCCTCACGGCGACAGATAAAGGGCGAGCGCTTGGGCATCTGGCTGGCCGCCCTCAGAGCTCTGCTGTGAGAGTGTTTACTGGTGCCTGCTTGCAGTAGGCAGCGACTGCATTCATCCTGGGGAGTCGGTTCCTGGACTCTCCACTTCATGATTCTTTCATTCCCCTTCCCTTCCTCTCTTTCCATCTCTTGCTTTCCTTCCTATTTGCAAAAGATCCATCTCTTCTTTATGGTCTGACTTTTGTCTTCTAAAATTACTTGTACTTTGTGCCCTTCCAGTGTCCACTCCCCAGCCCGAGGGCTCCCCAGCCATGGTCTCGGTGGAGCCTTGTTTTCCTGCTCTGCCCCGTTCCTCGTGGCCCTCCCTCCCTCCCTGACCGTATGGATTTCCAGATCCACTGCCGCCCACTGCTACCTCCTCCACCCCAGCCCGGCCAAGCCCTTGCCCGGCCTCCAGACCACTGTCCAGACCCGCGCCTTCTCCCCGTGCTGAGGCCACAGCCCTGGTCCTGGTTCCCACCCTGCTCTGACCAGCACCCATGGCCTGCTTTCCTTGCCAACAGCTCCATGGCAACCAGGCCAACCCAGCTCACAGCCAGCTCGAGCTCGTGTTACCTCAAGGGCAAACTTGGCGTCCCAGACCCACCACGCCCAGCCCCAGTGCTGCCCAGGCCGCTCAGACACCTGGCAGAGAGGTCTAGGGCCCGACGGGACGGGACCTCCCTTCAGTGCAGCCCTCACTCCCAGTAATCCTGCTATTATCCCTGCTCTGCAGAGGAGCAAACAGGGTTAGACTTTCTGAGTGGGGCAGCTGGTAAACAGTGGGACAGGACACGAGGCACGCAGTTCACATCTCTCAGCCCGCAATGTGCTTTTCCTGACTTCACTCGTCTGCTGGGTATTTTCTCAATTTTTCTTTTGCCATATTCTCATACATGGTCCTCACTATTTAATTTTCTTTTTCTAAACAACCACTATTTATTTTTATTTCACCACATCTTGCATCATCCCGAAAGAAACAAATTTATCCGGGTTACTCTTTTTGATAAATGCCCAACCACATGGCCCTTACTGTTCTCGTCCACCCTCCCCAGGATTGCAAGGTCGGGATGACTGGGGGCCGCCTGGGTGTCAGACAGGCCTGGCTAGGCCAGAAGAAGCTGTCTTCTCAGCCTCCGACTGTGGAAGAGGGTCTCCCAGCACCCCTGAAAAGGAGATCACCGAGCCGGAGGGTCCCTCTGGCCTGCACCGGATCCTGACATTTCTGGGGGGTGTGTGGTCCAAGCCAGGCTGCTGGACCTCAAGGGCCACAAGGCCTGGCAAGGCATAGGCGTGGGGTGGATCTTTGCTGCCCATCTACCAGGCCTGCAGCATCAGGCCCTCTGTCCCCACAGAGAGCCCAGGCTGGAGAGGTTGGGGGTGTGAAGAGGAAGTGGTGATTCTTTTCACCTTCCTTTGTTCCTTTCATTTTTGTGTTTCCCGGTGTATTTGCACAGGTAACAGTGAGTTCCTGCTGGGGAGTTGGCCCACGCACGGCACGTGTCTTCCCCCTCCATCTCTCGGTCCCCTTCCCTTTTACAAAAGATCCATCCCCTGAATCTCCCATTTTGCTCTGTGTGCACACTGTGTGTTTTCCTAGGATCCATGTGCAATTAAAGCTCATGTGTCTCATTGTTTTTTCACTTAGCATTGCGGTCTCGAGGTGCATCCGTCTCCCTACGAATGACTCAGGTTTATCCCTCTGTCCTCACACCCCTGCCCCCATGCCACCTGCCAGGAGTCGGGAGGAAACAGAAACCAGAGAGGAGAGGCTGGTGCAGCTGTAAACTAATCGCAGGACAGCAGGCAGGTATCACCTTGCAGCGACAGCCCCCAGAGAGTGTGCGCAAGGGAGAGCTGGAGTCGCCGCCGTGAAACATTAGCATGTTGACACGCGTGGCCCCGTGCAGCAGGGCTCTCTGGTTACCAGCAAACTTCACCTCTGCCCTAGCCCCTCCACACTGGGCAGCTGAGGAGGCCCCGAGCCAGGCCCGGGGCCGCCGTGGTGGGGAGGTCATGCTGTCCAGCAAGCTCTCCGCGCTACTCACCTGTGACCTGTGTGTGCCCTGGGCGGACTCGGTGGGGACCTCCCTGCTCCTCCGGACGTGGGTGGGTGGTCCGTCAGTGCATCGCAGAGGCTGTGTGACTGTGAGGGCGGTCACTCCCTGAGTGTGTTTCCTCGTCCACGCATGCAGATGAGTGTGGCAAAGTGCTATTAACCGGGCCAAGGCAGAATCTCCAGGTGAGACCAGGGAGCAGCAAACGTCTGTAGGAAAGAGCAGGAGGAAGCAGGCCCGAGCCCTGTCTGGTTTCTCTCTGTAGGATAAGTGGGGCAGCTGGGCAGGTCCGGCATTGACGCTCTGTAGGATGAGGCCGAGTGGCAGTTCACTCCAGCCGGGAGCCTCTGCCACCTGAAGGAGGATGCAGAGGCAAAGCTGAGGCAGGATGGGCTCCACCATGTCCCTCCACTGCACCCTTGAGGGGTGTGGGGTCATCGGTGCTCAGCACGGGCAGGTGGCCCGGGCCTCAGCCTTGTGGAGCTGCCAGGGTTCTGACTCGGTGTCTCCTAGCTGAGGCCTGACCTCCCCAGACTTCTTCGCTGTGAGGAGTCCCTCCCTGTGATCCCTACCCTAGATTGCATGTACACAGCTATGTTTGTGGAGAGAACCTGACCTTTAGGGTTACTCTCACGTCCCAAACCCTAGCTCACAAATGTGTATCTCTTGGGGAACTTGAAAAATATCTCTTCCTGGGTCCTGTCCCAGGAAAATTGGGTCCATGAGGTCTGGAGCCCATGAATCTACATTTCTTAAGCTGCCTAGGAGTGTTTGCAGAGTGGACGATTTAGAATGGAGATCAGCATCCTGACTGTCTGAGTCAGATGGTGCGGAGCCAAGAAATGGCCCATCAAGCCCCTGGCGGAGGGGAGAGGAAAGCTCAGGGGTCATGGTGCTGAGCTTGAGGCTCTTGTCCCAGGGTCATGGATTTATGGGCAGAGTTGAGTTGTGGCAGCAGGAGAGTAGGTAGGGCAGGCTCTATTTCCGGTGTGGAGACGCAGCGCCGCTGGTTTCCTCCAAGGATGCTGGGTGGGCCGCGGCAGATAGACAGACAGGCTCCACTGGCTCTCGCCTGGGCTGAGCACACATCTCCACACGGATGCAGGTAATAGCCTCGTAATGAGCCTGCTGGGCTTTCAGGGCTGCTCTGAGCGAGCTCGGCTCTGGGGTCGAGATGGACTTCATCTGCCGGGCAGCCAGTGCCACGGAGCAATCAGGATCGCTCTGAGAGCGTTTGCATATCATGCGCCCATGAAACGAGGCACCTGGAGTCGGGGTGTCCTAGGAGGCCCCGTACAGGGCCCTGTGCCTCCGAAACCCATGAGCATATGTGTGTGTGTGCGCACACGCTCGCTCTTTGCTAGTGTTACATCCTCTCCTCCAGAAGACACGTGTGGCTTGGGGACACGGGAAGCGGCTTTGATGTCCTCACGCCTGCCTTCTGTGCTCTCTGGGCGCTCCGCATGGTGACTTACAAAGCCCACAGCCCATGTTTGATCTGAGCAAGACCTGACACGGAGCCGCCAGTCCCACGAGTTGGTAAATATTTTCCAGGTCCCAGGCACAATGAGGATGGGGAGCTCTGTGGAGATCAAAGGCTCCCCTCCCCCACAGACTTTGTAAGGGGATGGGGCTCAGCCAATAGGTACATTTGTCCTGAAGTCGCAGAGGAGGGTGGGGACCAAGGGTCACCTGGGAGCCCACAGCCACCTTCCTGGGCCTCTGTCCTGCCCAGCTTTGGCTCCCTGGCAGTGGAGGGGCCGACTTGGAGCCCTGCGCAGCTGTCTCATCAGTACCCGACGTAACGTCCCGGCCCCAGCAGCACATTGCTGGTGACTTCGCCATGGCTCCTCTCCCATTCTCCCTGAAGCCTTCGCTGTCCACAGGTCCACGAAAGTCACTGGTCTCAGTGCATTGCAGGGGCTTTGTCTTCAAAGGGCCCCGCCCGGCCGCCTCACACCCTGCAGCTCTCTGAGGACAGTGACCCTGTCACACCTATAGCTCTGGCCTCTGCCCCTGGCTGAGACCTGGAAGGCGAGCGGTGGCCACTCAGCAAGGACAGCAAAGCCCCAAACTAGGGACTCGAACGTCTGGAACCAAACGTCTTCTTGAGCCCTAAAGCTCACTTCACCTTGGCCTCGCCCCACGTCCATGCCCAAGTGCCTGCTCGGTGACCTGTTGGAGACCCAGAGTTTTCCGCTCGACGTCAGACTACACGTGCTGCCACCTTGCTCCTGCCAGTGCCAGCAGAGGCTGTGCCAGGAAGGGAGCCGAGCGCCGGAGCCTGCAGGGCGTGGTCACCGGTTCGGCCTCTGCCAGGCTCCTGCAGGGCATGCTGCTGCTTCCTGGCCTTCCTGGTGCCCACGGAGGGCCAGCTGCTGTTGTGATAAAGGAGTCTGAGTGGGGATTTAGATTCTGAAGCTACGGTGTCCCCGGTGCTCAGTATTTCACATCCTCCTTTCACCCTCACGTGGAAGGTTCTTCCCCCTCCTGGTCTACAGAGGAGGAAGCTCAGTCTGCAGAGGTCCATAGCTGCTGAAATCAAGAGCAGTGGAGCTGGGGGATGCAGACAATGGGCCCAGGAGCAGCCAGATCAGAACTCGGTCGCTCCTAGACTGGCGTGCCCTGGACCGTGTAATGGGGCAGACCTAACTGTGGAGTAAGAGCAATGACGGGGGCCTCTCTGGGTTATGGCAATGACCAGATAGTTGTGTCCTCAAAGTGGCCAGCACTGGGTGGGGGCTGGGGAGGCATCGCCGCCGTGTCTTTTCCCCTTGGCCTCTTCTAGCGCCATCTTGGTGTTAGGATCCTGACAGGAAACCCAGTGCTCTAGCCCTGATGGGGTCTGTTGGAGCCTTCCTGTCCCGTGCCCCCTTTACTGTCGTTGTTTCTAAGAGAACATAACGAGAAAGCTGCCGTTCTCCACTCTTCACACCCGCCTCTCAGTGCAGCTGTGAGGCTCCCTTCACATGGGCTGCTGTGACTCTGACAGGACAGGGCCTTCCAGAGCAGCAGTTACCCAGCCAGGAACTCCACACAGATTGAAGGGAGAGAAGACAATGAGAACAGAGATGTACGCTGCCAGAAAATTAAAGTAGAAATCAAATAGGATTAGGATCCCTGAGTCTCAAATATTTAATTGTCATAATTGCCTAATTAAAGATGGGTTTAAAAGCACTCCTCCCTCCTCCCGGCATGCAGGGAGGCTCTGTTTCCAGGAAGGCAGCCGGAGTGCTTACACCACTCAGCATAGGAATGGAGACTCCTGACAAACCTCACAGGAAGGACAGCCATGCTGCCTCTGTACTGTGTTCACATTTAGCAAATACAGAGCATGTACGACTGTCCACTGTCCCCACAGAGGCCCGGGGACCAGGCCATCGAGAGCGGACCAGCGCAAGATGTGGAACTGGCTCATGTCACCCAACTGACTGCTAACGGATCACCAAACCCAGAGGGGCATGGGCAGGAAGAAGCTAGGGCTTCGCCGGGGGGCGGATCCGATGGGAGGGAATGGGAGGCCAGCAGGTGTGCGCTTGGGACAGGTACTGGGAGAAGTGGGCGTGGTGTTTCATGAGGGCTGCCTGCCCGCATCCACAAGGCCTGTCTTTTGGGGGTGGCAGTAGTGCCTAACACATGATAAGGGTTTTAAAACGTGGTAGTTTCTGCAGAGTAGGGCCTGGCAGCCTCCAAGATCTCCTCGGGAGGATCTCCAGTGACCCACAGGGCGGGCTCGAAGTGGGAAGAGAGCGAGGCCCAAGAAGCAGCCACGGTTCCAGAGCGGACCCAGGGGTGCTGAATAATTTACTCCACTGCAGGGTCTGCCGCAACACCTGAGAGCATCAAGAAATAAGCACAACAGGCTCCCTTTAAAATGTATTGGTTGCAGTTTATTTCCTTGTGAGTATGCGTGTCTTTCTGTTCGAGGAGAAGCCCAGACAGCTGGGCTGGAAACTCTTCCTTCCCCGTGCTCGTCTCCTCATTCTGCGCTCTCGTCCACGGTTCTCTCTCCCTCCTCCCTTGCTTTATACTTGCTGTCTTTTTTGCTCCCTCCCTCCCTCCCTTCCTTCTTTCCTTATTTCCTTTCTTTTTTTCTTCCCTTTCTTCTTCCTAATCTGTTTACTCACTTATGCTCAATAAACTTTAACAAATTTGACTCCAAGGGCTCTCAACTGTGTGGATGAAAACACATTGGAAAAGAATGCTCTGAGTTGCTGGTACTCCTGAATGATTATGTATGTATAGACACACATATTAAGGTCATGCCACATTGAAGGCACCAAACTCATGTACATGTGAGAGCTGGCACAACCTTTCTGGAAAGCAATAGGGAAAAATACAGCCAAAGTTTTGAAAATGGACATATCTATTAAGCCAGCAGTTCTACTTTGGGGACTCTGTCCTAAATGATGGGGAGAAAAATACAGTGGTGCCTCACTTCATAAGCTTAATTTGTTCTACAACTTTGGAAAAGATGGCTGTTGTTCTGTTTGTCACTTGATGCAGAATTGGCAAAAAAAGAATCAAAATTTTGCCAAATGCCTTTGTTTATAAACCAAATTGTTTGCAAACAAAAGCATCAGGGAATGGAGGTACCACTGTAAATGTGGAGAAGGCTGTATGCAAAAGATGGTTATCATGACATTATGTGTAACGAAATGAAAATCTCCCTAAATTCAGAAACAATCTAAATTGTTTAATAAAATGTACTGCTGCCTCTACTCAGTGACATCAGGTCTGAGAGGTGGGAGTTGGAGGGAAGTTCTAGAAAGGCTTCCTCGGAGAGTTGACAAATAAGCAAAGTTCTGAGTCAACAACACACAGTCACTCCAGAAAAAGGGACCACAGATAATTCTGAGCAACTGCTAAGTGACAGGCCGTGACGAGGTGCTCCTTGTACTTATAATTTATTCTCTGTTACTGAGCACCTACTATGTGGCGTTTGCTAGATGATGTTTAATGTGTGCTTCGGCATGCATCATCTCTTTGAGGATTCTCAAGAATTCTAGAAGATTAATAAAATGTCCCTATTCTAAATGTCATGGAAACAAAGTTCAGAGAGTTGACTTGCCCGAGGTCAAACAAGCCACGGCCGTTCACTCAGTGTGGGAAGTGCCCCGTGATGCCTTGGCTGACAGCTGTGTACCATGTTTACTCTGAGAGGCTGGTCAGGACCAAAATGCACTCACACCTGCATCACGCAAGAGGTGTGGCCATTTGGATGAGGGGGCAGGTGCAGCTGCCTCGCAGAAGGTCAGTTTTAGGATGTCATCCCTACCTTGGGATTCTGTCTGGACTAATCAGACTCTGTCACCGAAGAGAAACTACGACTCAGTGATACAGTACCCAGCGGGTGTCTGCATACACAATTGCATTCTCACAATAGCTGATCAGATAGAACGAGAGGTTTTGAAAGCCACACTGGACAGAAAAGGAAACTTCCATGTGTGCTGGGGATGTG